GAAAAGTCTGTAACACAGTTTGGTTAAAATTTCTCAATGGTAGTGTAAAACAACACCGTTTTTACCCTGTCAAAAACAGCTCTGTCTACAGCAAGCTGTTTTATTGCATGTCGCTTTAAATGCAAATGAGCTCTACTCACCCCGCCCCCTCTTCAGAGCCGCATTCATTGTGAAACTTGCTAATTAGCACATTATTAGGAAAGGCGATTTGCAAAGATTCATTAAAAAAACCTTATACTCGCTTCTTCTGGAGGTGAAGCTGGATCACGAATGATTCGCGCGAACATAGTAATAATTTAGATAGATTAGAGGCGCATTCCCTTCAGAAACAAACGTAATCCACTGCGTCTTCAGCGGCTCAGATATCGGGAGTAAATGACGACTGCTATGTTCATTATTACATCCAACAACAGAACACCTCAATCGCTTAGGAGTCATTCTTGTCTACATCTGCTCCGGCGGTGAAACACTGGCGGACTGATGACAGCTCACTAAAAATTATAATTATAATTTTAATTTAAAAAATAAAATAGAATAAAATATTTCTCTCCCTGAAATGACTTTTCTGTTGATGTAACCAAGACAAAATGGGCAAGGAAATAACAACCAATAATATCATAAAAATAAATTATATCATAAATAGCCATATTGAATGCAATCATTGGATCTGCATTTTTTCATATCCGATTACAAACAGTCTAAAAATAACATTTGCATTCATAAAATATATTATATATTATACGAATATATAAATTATTAAACAAAATAATAATTGGGGGGGGTGTTGCATATTAAACATTTTAGTGATTCAACTCCTTGTGACAGACAATACAAAAATTCAAAACTTCAGAAAAAAAAAATAGGTTATTGAAGAAAAAAAAGGCACATTGTATTTCACAATGTATGCACATGTGACAATAAAATCAAGAAGCATCAGTCTGTACGACAGTTCCCAATTAACAATTTCAAGCCCAATTGACGCCACTGATAGAATTTAAACTAGCAAACATAACCTCTAACATCGTTTAATGCTGTCTATAGAGAATGGCTTTCAACGGTAAACTCATAACCGCTCTAATTTATGAACGTGTGAAACGGTGCAGGGGTGTAACGTCTCCTGGAAGCATTAGTGCGCACTTCCTCCGGCAGCCAGGAATAATGTTCTAGCATCTAATGCCCTGTTTATGCCTGTGTGGTCTGAACTGAAGCGGGCCAAGCTAAAGCCGGGCCTTAGAAGGGCATACACACACACACACACACACACACGAGGACCACAGTGAAGCCATGCTCGCAGGAAGACCACCAGCACTCGGCCGACAAAGAGCAGATATTTGCAGCGGCGCTGACGTGTTCAGAGACAGCAGAAAGTCAGCGGCATGAATGAAAATACAGTCTGTCTCGTGAGCGGCTATAATTAGCAGAATGTGCCGTCAGGAGTTTCTCTTTTGACCGTCCAGTGTGAAAAATCACTCAATTCTGAGGTGGAAAACGAGAAATGGCAATAAATTGACTAAGAATGAACTGCACTCCCTGCTAGCATTTATTTGCACATGCTGTCTGTGTAGTTTCAGCATCTGAGTGACTAAAGGAACTACACAAATCACAAACTTTCCTAACACACAATCTCGCTCTTACTGTGAATGATTAATCAGTGCATGCCAGTATAAAATATAACCAGCCTTATATAAAATAAAATAATTCTGCCTTTAAAACAAATTTTTACTAATTGAATGTCCTTTCTTAAATAAAATAAAATAAAAAATAAATTAAAATAAAATAATCCTGCCTTTAAAAATTTTTGCAAATAAAGCATTTTTACTAATTGAATGTCCTTTCTTAAATAAAATAAAATCAAATTCATGCCTTTAAAACAACTTTTGCAAATGAGACATTTTTTTCCTTCACTGAACATCCCATGTACTTTCTTAAATAAAAATAAATAATGAAATATTATTAAGATTAAACAGTGTATGGTTTTTATATAAAATAAAATATTACAACAAAATAAAGTAAAATATCAAATAAAATAAAATAAATAATCAAATAAAATATTTTCAAATAAAAAAAATCAAATCAAATTGCGATGGATCCATTAAAGTCACAAGCAAAATTTTTCCATATTTAATTACAAACTGTCAAAAAAGAAAATTTAAATGAATAAAATATATTACTATTAAATCAGTTATTAAATTCAATAAATTCTGGGCTGGATAATGAAGAACATTAGCTAAGAATGAACTGCCCTCCTGCTAGCATTTATTTGTATGTCTGTGTTGTTTCAGCATCTGAGTCACTAAAGGAACTACACAAATCACATAACTGGTCAAAATTGAAGCATGCAAAATATGACTAAAAGACAGTGAGCGGCATTTAGGTTTTAAATCAGGAAGTTCCTCCATGCAAGAGTTAATGTCATTATCATTAAGAAATATACACAAACATCCTATTAAAATAAACCTTGGTTTATCAACAGCTTTATGTGGGCGGTAATTTAGTGTCAGGAAATGGACAATAAACGGCATTCTATAATGAGCCCCATTATCGTACAAAAGAATGACAATGAATCAATTAAAATTTAAATATGCTTGACGCAATACTATAGCAGCGCAAGGCTTTTGAGCTTAAAGGGAAAATTCACCCAATTACTCTTCTGTTGCCGGTAGCCATTCACTTTTATATTATTTATATTACTTCCACCTTTAAATTAAACTTTTGTCATCCTTTACACACCCTAAATTGACTTCTATAGTATTTTTTCTTTTAGCGGCTTTTTTCCATAGAATATTCATACTGACAAACCTAGCGACTTTTTTGTATAAACCTTAGCTATGGTTCAGTTGGACGATTTCGCCAGTGCTGTCCCGCGAACGCGTCAATGGCTACTGTCAACTGTTTGGTTACCAACATTCTTCAAAACATTTTTAGGTGAACTGTCTCTTTAAATAATGCAGCTACGTGTTTCTGGGTTAAGTTACTAAGCGCAATAAAGCGTTTGTCTGATTAGTCTTGTTCTCAGACGTTTAGGGAGCGAATGGTCTGATCTGCTGTGGGCGAAACATTTCCTGTCATGACCACGGCACATTCACTGAGCTGAGATTTTCATTTTTTTTTATACGCACCGCCATCCCATAATATAAGCAGTCTAGGAGAAACATCAGGAGATCTTTACAGTTTCTGAAGAATATGTGAGTGCAAACTTGCCACCACGATGCTAGGCTTTTATAGATGGTTGCTAGGCTGTTCTATGTGGTTTTTAGGGTGTTTAAGTGGTTGTTAGGCTGATCTGAGTGGTTGCTAGGTTGTTCTGAGTGGTTGCTAGGTTGTTCTGAGTGGTTGCTAGGATGTTCTAAGTGGTTGCTAGGATGTTCTAAGTGGCTGCTAGGTTATTCTGAGTGGTTGCTAGGTTGTTCTAAGTGGTTGCTAGGCTGATCTGAGTGGTTGCTAGATTGTTCTGAGTGGTTGCAAGGTTGTTCTGAGTGGTTGCTATATTGTTCTGAGTGGTTGCTAGGTTGCTTTGAGTGGTTGCTAGGTACCGTGAAACCGGTATAATTTTGAAAAATACCGTGATATAAATTTTTGGTCATACCGCCCAGCACTAGTTGCTAGGGTGTAATAAGTGGTTGCTATTGTTTTCTGAGGGGTTTCTAGGGTGTTCTAAGTGGTTGTTAGGCAGATTTGAGTGGTTGATAGGGTGTTATAAGTGGTTCTTGGGCTTTTCTGAGTGGCTACTATGATGTTCTGAATAGTTGCTAGGCTGTTCTAAGTGGTTGCTAGGTTATTCGGAGTGGTTGCTAGGGTGTTCTAAGTGGTTGTTGGGCTTTTCTTAATGGCTACTAGGGCTGCACGATAAATCGCATGCGATATTTAACGCGCATCTTATCAGTAAAGCCGGTTCTGTAATCA